CGCCACGCCACCGCCTCCGAGCGCCACCGTCGCCGCACCACCACCTCAACTGCAAATCGAACCCGTCAATTAGGTAAATGGCCTAAAATTTTTTCAATATTTTCAATAAATACGAATTTTCATAATACGTTTTTAAGTTAAGGTTTCATTAAAATTTGATATTTTAGGGTGTTAGGGTTGATTAGAATTAGGGAATTGATTTGAATTAGGGGTTTTGATTTAGAACTTCGAATTTGGACTCGAAACTCTAATGTTGTTGAAATTGTGAAATTGTGAAATTGTGAACTATTGTGTGTACTATTGTGTGAACTAGTGTGTGAAGTATAATGTGAAGTTCGATTTTTTGGAATTAGGACTACAAATTGAACTTCGAATTGTGAAATTGTGGACTCGATTAGAATTAGGTGTTTCGCGAGTGTAGCCGAGAGCCGAGGCCGTTCGATTTCCATTCTTTCGAGCCGATTAGTTTATTACGGAAGAAGCTAAAATGGCTATACCTTCTCTATATTTTTATGAATTATATTGATGGATATAAATTATTTGCTAAGGTGAATTGACTTGATATATTGAGTTGAGAATGAAATTGGGATTTAATTGAGTTGAATTAAATCCTTTGAGCTTTTATGAACTTATTTTAGTTTATAGTTTATATCTTTTTTTATTTTTGAAATGAGCTTAATTTGAAATGAGCACTATTTTCTAATAAATAACCTTAATCCTAATATTTACTTTTTTGTATTGTGTGTAGATAAATGGCTTCATCATCCTCCTCACAGCCTCAGCAGTACAGTGTCCATCCCGGTCCGAGGGAGGCACTCTTCTATATCTCCAGTACCGCCACCGGTCACAGGCGGTATTTAGTAATGCGCCGGGAGCTCGTGACACGGCACTCACAAACCGCCGTTTCGACAGTCAGTTCTGGGGGCTTTGTCAAGCCAGCCACGGTCGGTTTGGGAGGTCATCGACCGGACTGGTTTTGGACCCTTGTTTCGAATGGGTCGAGTCCAAGCCGACAACATCCTTATTACTGCTCTCGTGGAGAGGTGGTGCCCAGAGACAAATACCTTCCATTTCGATTTCGGCGAGGCCACCATCACGCTCCAGGACGTACAAGTCCTGTTCGGTCTGCCAATCATTGGAGCTGTTGTTGTGGGAGTGACTAGAGATCTATCACCCCTACAGTGGCGAGAGAGGTGCAAGGACTTGCTAGGGTACGAGCCCTATGTTCAGGTATATTTTTTCATAGAATTTTTTTTAAATATATGTCAACTCAATTTTATCGCTTTTAATATGGAAAAACCAATTTCAGGATCCTCCCATCACCGAGGAAGAGCAAGCAGCCCAAGATCCAAAGTCTTGGAACATGAAAGGCCAGTATCTGAATGATGGAGGGTTAGAGGAGGAATGCAACCGTGTGTTGCAAGAAGGGCAACCGGACATCGTGTACGAGCAGAGGGCGAGGGCCCTTATCTTCTGGTGCATTGGGTCCTTCATCTTCCCCGACCAGCGGGCGAATGGTGTCCCACTTCACTGGCTCGACCTGCTGCAGGACGTAGATGCTGTTAAGGGGTACAGCTGGGGTTCAGCTCTACTGGCCGGAGTATACAGAGCCTTGTCAACCTCGTACAAGGCCAAGGAGAAGTGGATGAAGCATTGCATTCAATTGATCCGGGTAAATTTATTTAATTGTTATTTGAAAATTTAATATTTTATTTTTTTCTTACTTCGACTAATACCTAATAACAAAATTAATGTCCATTTGTGTAGGTTTGGGCATGGGAGCATATCCCTCGTATTCGCCCAATAGTCAAGACCAGTAGGTTTGATACTCTTCCTGATTGTCCATTGGGAGCGAGGTAACCTTTATTTTTATTTAATCCGTACATTATTTTCATTATCAAATTTTGTGATTACAAACTTTTTTTTCTCTGATTTTTAAGGTGGGTGGGACCGAAAAAGAGGTCCAACATAGCCAATACATCGGTCGCCTACCGAGATCAGTTGACAGGGCTGGGAGAGTATGATGTAATATTCTTAATTCCTATTACTTGATTTATCTTTCTTTTTTTTGTTTATAATTGTGTAATAACTTAATTACTAATTCAATTGTTATTTTTTTTACAGTTCGATTGGCAGCCCTATCGACAACACCTGGAGGATGATACTCTCCCGGAGGCGTGCTCAAGAGATCCACAAGTTTGGATGTACCGGGGGTGGATCTTCAGTTGGAACATCCGGGAGGTACACCTGCCGGACAGGGTCCTCCGGCAATTTGGGTGTCGCCAGTCCATCCCCCAATATCCGATCATTTTGGATGAGCGAGACTAGGACATACACCACAAGGGTCAGGGGATGACTAGGAGGGCGTTTTACGATTGGGTCGCATTCCATGTTCCGTTTTTGAGCTCGTGGACCGAAGAAATAGAACAACGTCTCCTCCCAGTTGTCTTCGTGCACGACTATCTGCAGCCGGAGCAGGGTTACATTGAATGGTTACACAACAGGACTGTGAGATTCATCAATAACCCTGCCAATTACCCGGTGTTCCAGCAGGCGGGCGGGTATCAGCCACTTGCCGAGCGGTTAGGCTATCAGGTAAGTGTTCATTATTGCCGTCCAGTCAAGTTTTCTCCCAGGACGAATACATTCCCCCCATGAGGACACAGTCGCACACGGCCAGACATCAACCCGCCCCCAACATTGGTGGGGGTAGAAAACCTCGGGCCCGTCCCCGCGCTCAGCCGTCCGCCCAGCACCCCCAACCTAAGCAGCCCGAGCCTCAACAAGGTGAGATTTTTAAATTAATATTTTTTTTTACAGTCCAATTTATGATTTCTTTTTTCAATTGAATTATTCAGATGAAGAAGATGAAAATGAGCAGGCTTTTTAAACTGACACGCTTCTCACACCTCAACCTTCGTCTTCTTCTCACATGGTATATACTCGGAGGGGGTCCAGACCGCGCAAGCCTACAAAACCATACACTCCTTCCTAGTTAGTTGTGTTGAATTCGTGGATTTTGTGTTTATTTTGAATTGTTGGATTGTCTGTATAAACCGAATTATATCGTTTTGTATATATTGTTTGTTCGATAAATTATTGTGTTTCATTTGTTTGTTTGTATGGTATGTTGGATTATTATTGGGCGAATATGTTGATATCGAACAGGTGTATTTGGTTGTGAACAGGTATATTTGACTGGTAATAGGATTTCTGATAAAACCGTATTTAGTTAATGCGTTTTTTAATTTTTTAAAACAAAAACCGTATTTAGAGGGAAATTTAGAGCAAAATCAATTTGGGGCTAAAATTAGGGCACCAAAAATCAATTCAGGGAAAAATTACATAAAAACCGTATTTTTAAAATACGTTTTATATTTCGAAATTTTTTTTCTGAAAAAAAATTATTTTTAAGACTTGTAAAAATTAATTTTATTTTTAAAACGTATTTCATAAATACGTTTTATAATAAAAAAAAATATATAACTAATTTTAAATGAAAAACGTATTTGTATAATACGTATTTAATTTTTTTTACTGTAAAACGTATTTACCCAATACATTTTTCTAAATTTTAATTAAGTTAATTACGTTAATTAAATTAACAAATTATTTTTTAGCAAAACGTATTCGTATTTTAATTGAAAATGTATTACGTGAATACGGTTTACAATTAAAAACGTATTCACTGAATACGTGCTTTTTATTTTGGTCGACACTCTTTTTTTTGTCCACTTCATTTTTTTTATTTTTTTGTGGGTAAAAAAATCGCCTGAAATGTACCTAGTCCCATACATATCTAATTGTGTCATTCAAATTTTGAGGCACAACAATAATATATCATTATAACAAGTAGGTGACATATTAGGATGATTTAACACAAAAAATATTCGCAAAAACAATGTACTTGCAATGTTAAAGCTAGAGATGCTCCATTGCTTCGATTTACAAATATTGATTATTCACAAAATCATAAAATCATCATAAAACACAAACAACAATATAAGATCCTAGAAAATTCGTCTGTCATTCATTCTCTACCTTTAAAATCAACTACGTTCATACTAAAAAATCCATATCAAAGTAGCATTTTTCAGCCACATAATACAAGAAGCACATGTGCACTGAGATGAAACTTGTACCGTTCTTTTATTAACACGCTCAAACTCTTTTCCCCAATTTCTTTTTAATATCAAAACACCCTTTATAAGCTCCCACCTTGGTCCATCTGTAGAGGTCCTAGGCATAAACGAGGCACTTACGAAATATAGCAAAATGCGGACTGGTGATTGGGGCCCGATGGTGGTAGTGGTGGCGGCGGCCAAGACTATGTTTATTCTCCTATATCCTTGGCTACTCTTTCAGCTGCCAGTAAGGACAGTAGGGTCATTGAGCTTCACAGGATCTCGATCCTCGTCCACGCGATTTTGTATGGTTGTAATCAATTTGAAGAGTTCCAAAGATCTTCTCTTCATACAACTTTTGTATGTGTTTCTAGTTAGATCTTGGCATGTTACCATAGATATGTAGTGATGGATAAGTACAATTCTAGAATCAATCTAAGAAATGTTACAGCATGCATATCAGTTAAAAATTGAATCAATAAAGAACTTCTTCCCTACATATACATCCAAGAATTATATAAGGGATTTTTCCTGTGAAATGATCAAAATTATGGCTACCATATATCATACTTCTTTTAACGTGGGCTACACATCATAAGCATCTACATAGTTAATGATTATAAGACAAACGAAAATATGTAAAATGGGTAAAGAAAGAGTGGTCGGTCAAGATGATATTCTCTCCCAATAATAAATAAAAACTCCTTTACGCAAAGCTAGACTTGTTGTATTTATTCATCTTCATTGTGTCAATTGGGTTCATATACATGGTAGCTAGACGTGTATCTATTTCCGAACCTCATGAAATTCCGATAAGGAATGAAATGCAGATAAGGAAAGAAATCACACATTAATTTCTTTTATTTTCTGTTGCCACTAAAGGACAAGGCCTAGGATAAGCCTTGTGTTTACGTGCTTTACTTCCTTCGACTGGTTATTATGTCAGTTTATCCGTTTTTCCCTTCTTCGCGTTTTTTGAGGCATCCTTCGAATCCTGAATCTCCTCCAAGTCTTTCACCACCTTATCCATGACGGCCCTCAACCTGGCGTCCGTGCACAGGCACTGTAGAGCGAGGCCCGCAGCCTTCACGGCCCGGCCTTGTGAATATTGGGCCGCAATCTGGGTATCCATGACCCTAAAAATCCGTTGTTTGTTGGTTAGGTAAATTTGGCCCAGTCGACAAGATTTTGTTTGACCTTGGGCTGGTTTTTTACGATTGCTTTATTCCCATTCAAGATTTGTAGTAGGACGACCCCGAAGCTGTACACATCACTTCTTGCGGATAATAAAGGGAATAAAAACTTTGTTAATAAGGATGGACAATCTCAAGTGAGCTAAAAAATGTATTTTAGAAAATTCCCGACGAAAGCAAAAATTATGTTTTAAGTTAAGTGATATTCTTAGGAAGCTTGGATGTTCATATACGATGCTTTGGACGATTTTGCTACTTTTTTTGACATTTGCTAAAACTCATATGTTTCTTGATTGTTCCATAATTATTTCACTGTTTACATATGTTCATCTGTTTTGTATTTTGTCTCCTGTAATGCTTCTTTCTCCTCCTTTGTTCCCTGTTGTTTCAAATAATTTCCAACCAATGCATATTTTTCTTTGGCCCTTTCTAGTAAATAAAATTCAAGCACACGAATTTTCAGGATAATATGTGTAACAAAGTGCTTCTTATCCTGTTCCAAAAAGTCTTTTCAAGTGGCACTTAATTCAATCAAGACAAAAACCAGAAAGAAATGTCCTTATCCTCAGTTTTAACTCTCTTCATGAAGCCAACAGGCATGATAGGGTGCAATGTGTATCACGCGCAGACAACATATATATATAAATCAAGAGAAGTTCGAACCAACACGGCATTCATACCTGTGGTTAGGTACTCAGGAGCCGTATATCCGCAAGTTCCCATGACCCGAATCAAGACATGACTTATCATCAGCCGTCCCCGGCAAGCCCGAAATCAGAATTTGCACTGTAGTGTTGTTAGTGAATCAAACATAAAAAGCAGTCAGCATAACTAACCGAAGCCGACCTGAAGTCTCCAAAAAATAAGTGCGCACCAACTTTTCATAGAAGGGGAAAATTCTAATGACAATTCATTAACTGTAGTAAACGGAGAAAATTACGCACCGAATCAAGTAGGATATTAGAAGTCTTGAAGTCCTGGTATTTTACTTCTATTTCATCACTATGGAGAAAGGCGAGCTGAGAGCTACGAGCTACTTCCTCTGGAGCTGCTGAGCAACAACCGTCTCCTCCGGCAACTCGCCGCGGCTCTCCAAGAGACCCAGCCACCGCCTCGGCCCCAGTCTGACGCCTCCGGTCGGATAGAACTCCCTCGACGCTCAACCGCCGATCAGTCTCGCTCTCCTCAGCTCCTCCGGGCTTACATACACAGAAACAGTGCACCAGTTTGCATCGCCTATAGAGCTCGAGTTGTCCGATCGACTCATAGGGCGGCGAGGCTAGGCTAGGCGGAGGGATTTTTATGTGGTGCATAGAGTTTCAGATGAGGATGAAGGTTGAGGATAATTTGCTTTGCTTGGGTAGGATTTGTGCAGAGAGGACGTGTTTACCTGCTCCCGTCACTATCTCCATCTCCCCGATTGCGTGAGCGATAATTCTGGAAATGAAGAAAGAGCGTTGTCGCTATATCTCGGAATTTCGGCAAAAAGGAAGAAAAAATATCGCAACTTGCACCACAAAAAAAAAAAAATACAAAAGCAAAAAAAGAGTTTGCAAACAAGCACCTAAACGGCGTCGTTTTGAATGAAGACTTTTGATAGGAGAGATAGAGGTAGATTCTTTTTTCTTCCGGATTAACCCTCCATACACTCCATTCAAGAGCAGCCACGTGAGCTAGAATGAACCGTGAACACAAAAATAAAATCTTTTCATCCTCCCACACTCCATTGTTTCTTCAAACTCCGATAACCAAAACTGCTTTATTAGTTTTATATAATGACAAGCTTATTGTCGTGTAGTAGTTGCTGCACAATTTCTGCATCTGCAAGATTTTTGTTCAACACCAAGCACCAGCCCAAAACCCAGAGAAATTCTCATTATTTTCTCAGATTGAGAGTTTCTTCCGCCAAGGAAGATGAAGAATGCAACACGGAAGAATGCGCACCCGATAAAGAGGTGAAATCCCCCTNTTTTTTTTTTTTTTTTTTTTTTTTTTGTTCTTCTATCATGAATTGAATTTTGCTTCGCACAAAGGTTATTGTTTATGGATTGTTATAAATGTGTCTTGTTATGGATTTGATGAGTTGGTTGTATCTTGGAATTCTCAATCTTGCTAACTTAGAGAATCATTGATAGTTCTTGCAATTATCATGTTTGGGTAGAAATGACAGTTGACTACTGTTGTGCGTGATTGAACGGTGCACAAGTCGAATATAGTATTCCTGTGGCGAAACAAGATTATACTAGTTTTCAAAATTAGATGAAAATCGGTGTGAAACCTTGTGAATAATTAATTCCGAAAGGGAAGCCGTGCATTGGTTTTAGTTCTTTTGAGTTCTCTTAGATGTTTTGAAGCTTTTAGGTCCTTAATTATGAGTGTTGGTATATTTCTATACCCAAAAGAAAATTAGTCCAATCCCAAAATCCATTTATGTCAAATAAATAAGAATCGATCAAATATAAGAGCAGAAGCGTACTAGACTTCATGAATTTATTTGCTTGAGAATTCTCGTGTGTTGTGTTCCTCCCAACGATCTTGTTGGATTGGTATGGTCTTCTAAACGATCAAAACCTTATAGCAACAGATACTTTAGTATACTAAAGAGTATTTTCTATATGTATGTTGTGAATGTATGTTTCTAAAGTGTGAAGGCGGGTGCTTTTTAAAAGGAGAAAGCACCCCTCTTCGAAAAATCTGCTCGTATCTTTTCGTCGTTCAGGGCCATAACCAAATAAATAAATTTATTTGATTTTCAGTTTGTTCCCTCAACAAACAAAAAATCTCATAATGGTATCTACACTTTTAAATCCATAACAATTTGATACTCTATTTAATCAAAATCATAAATCATAAATTTAGTAGATCACTCTAACTGAATTATATTACGATAACTATACACATTTAGTTTACATATGTTGTCCATGAAATATTTCTAACAATGAGGAGTTATGTTAGTTCTCTTTCTTACCTTTCTATGATTGATATACTTGTGTTCCATTTTAGGAATGGTATCCTTTCTTACTATGTTAGTTGGCAGCATAGATCTTGTGTTGTTGCGAAAAGGAGATTTGTTATAATGGATGGAACTGAACAGGTGGGAAAAGTGAGCATGGAGTGGGTTGCTGCTGACAATACTAAGGTAGTGGGTACATTCCCACCCCGCAGCAGCAACAACAAAAAGGGGTGGACTGGCTACATCGAGAAGGACACAGCAGGACAAACAAACATATACTCTGTCGAGGTCAGCATGCAAATAAATGATCCATCCAGTGTGTTAGTTAGTGTTTCCCCTCTTGTTTAAATAATGACCTGAGTGCGTGAGTTTCCTTTCCTCTGCTTTCCCAGCCTGCAGTGTATATTGCAGAAAGTGCAATAAGCTCGGGAACTGCAGGCTCCTCAGCTGACGGCTCGGAGAACACCGCGGCCATTGTTGCCGGCATTGCCTTAGTATCAGTTGCCGCAGCTTCATCTGTGCTTTTCCAGGTGGGCAGTAATCCGGCAGCTGTGGTCCCACCACCTCAATACTCGGGTCCTTCCCTCAGCTACTACATCAACAAGTTCAAGTCTCCCGAGATCATACAACCACCGGAGACCAAACCCGAACAGCTGCTCGAGGAGGCAATACCATCAGTCACCCCTACTGCCTCGTAGGCGCTTCGTTTTTGCTTTTATTTATTTTTATTTTTTTTCAAGGTTGGAAGATCACAAATTCAAATTTTACTATGGGAACATTGTGGGTCGACTGCCTATATTTCTTAAACAAAACTCGCATTTATAATATTAGTAAAGTGCACGCGCGACGCACGTGGTGACATAATTATTTTTTTTTTTCGACATGAATCGTTACCAAGTATACTTGATTTATTAAACATGAAAAACATGTAGCATAGTAGTAAAAGTTTAAAACTGTTACCCAACCTTAAAACATGTCTATACACAATTATTTGCTCTATTTCTTCATGAGCATGTGTGGTCTAGTTTCAGTAAGACTTTGGTCGTGAAAGTGAAGTTTTCTTTTATAGCAAATATGTAATTGACCATGAGAATACAAATTACTAAGGCAAATAAAAATCGATTTTACATTTGTTTGTCCTCGAGCTTTAGTGACCTTCACACCATAGTAAATTCTAATCAGGAATTGTTTGTATCTCAACATATACAATTAGCTTTCTTCTTATTATTTTTTGTTTCAATAAAAACATGTTTTTTTGGTATGTTGCCCAAATGAATTTATGAATCAATCATATTATCTTCAAAAATTTTACACAGTCCATTAGATGATGAGTTAAAATTCCTCAAAATAATTACAACTTTAATTTTTGTGTTAGTTATTTTTAACTCTGGATAAAGAATTTATCAAGGGCTAGATTTCATTGACCATATTCTCAACAAAGAATTTTTTTCATCTTATACCAAAAGGTTGGTTTAACCGAACTTGTTGAAATTATTTGGTGGATTGTGGCATGTCGGGCAACCGGTAAAAATTTTTAAATTCTTTTACGAAAGACGATAACTCTTCCACCAAAGTTTTCATCATTTTTCAGTCTATTATTATTTTTTTTTAATAAAAATTGAATTTTTAGTTTATCCTTCATTTCGCCTTTTGTGTCTCATCCCATATTATTAGTTATGCATTACGTGAAGATTAAACATATTTAGTTATTTATTTATTTATTTTAGTTTGTTTAATATGAAACAACAATGCACAATATATGAATTATTTGCTAATTCTTCTTAGCCGGTCAAGTTGACCGGTATATTTAGAAGATCATATAAACTAATATTTTTTTCCATACATTATAGGTATATGTTTAACTTTTTAAAGTGTTGGTGGTACGTACTTTTTCCTAGGCAGTTATTCCTCTCCAAAATTTTCATACATTTTGATGGGTCTACTTCCGGATTTGGAGTAAACCGGTGGATGTGAGCTCAGATCTGCTTGAACCGCCTCCAAATCGCCGCTAGACCGCGGGATACCTGCAAAAACTCAACGCCAGAGGTGTTTCCTGCGTAGAGCCTCCGACGCTCAAGTCAGTAAGAGAGTGATGAAGAGAGGCTGCGCAGCAGCTATAGGGGAGAGTGGGAATGAATCAGAGTTAGGGTTTAGGGTTACCTCATCTCCTTTATATAGGAGTGAATACTTACGTGAAGTGCCCAAAATGCCCAAGTCGGTGGACCTAGAAGGTCCAAAATGCCCTGGTCGATCCGTCTCCCCTTATTACTGAGTCATCACAAGATTCCTTCCTATCCTTCCTAATGTGGAGGGCTTCGGATATGTTGCAAGTGTGGTGAATCGTCATCACATCTTTGTTATTTAAGGTATGTGAGGTCGACTTCGAGATCAAGGAAGTCGACTCGTGGATATGTGCGGATTCAGAGGCTACGCTTGACTAGTTCTTTGAGGCGAAGTCGTCTTCAGAGAGTCGTCTTAGTTCAGTCGACTTCTGGGAGTCGACTTAGAATATCTGGATGATCGGGAGCTGTACTCTTGCTGTTCCTCTTTCATTGATGTCGATTAGTGAAAGTCGATAGATTAAGGTCGACTTGCGAGAGTCGACTAGATTAATCTCTGCTTCTTCTTGATTGCTCTTAGTAGAATCGACCTTAGGGAAGTCGATTTGGGAATGTCGACGGAGTCATGTCGACATGCGAGTAATTCGAGTGGTTTGCTGGTTGAGTAAAGAGCTTCTGGACCGGGTTATCCTTATGTGGCTATATCATCTAGTCCCCCCCCCCAAAAAATTACTCTAAGCAGTCGACTGCTTAAGAGTAAATTTGGTGAACTATAATAGTGTCGCTTTCCCATCAGCCTCGCTCGTATTGGCTTCTTTGACAACTCGTCTCGTCAATTAATTAGGGCGCACTCCAATCCCATGATTGCTTTTTCGGATAAGTCTGACACTCTGACAGACCCCTTTCAAATTTCGAATTTCAAAAACCCTAAAGTGACGCGCGTCACTTCAACCACCGACCCTTTGGATTCTGTGCTTCATCAGGACCATTGGTTCTCTCGTTGATCCAACGATCGTCGCCTGTTACTCCTTTCTATAAATGCACCTCTTTTTCTCCAAAGGTCACTTTTCGCCTTCTCGAAATTTCTGCTTTCTCCAGCTTCCTCAAACTTTCCGGCAATCTCCGCTCTTCGATTCCACCGGCGCTCTTCTCTTCCGGCAACTTCAGGCTCATTCGCAATTTCAACCAACCACGCCATTATGTGTAAGTTCACTGTCTCTTAACTCTCAATTCTCTGTTGACTTTTTTCTTTTTCTGATTTTCTCTGGATTCCCAGAATTTTCGAAGTTCATGCATGTTCTTCATATTTTTTGAAGATTTTCTATGATTTCTGTGTTGGATCTTGGATTGCGCATGTTTCGCTTGGACTTATTGTTGTTGGCCAGTCGTCGGCTGCCGATGTGCAGTCGATTTTCGTCTATCACTGAGTCGACTCTCCATCGACTTAGCGATCTTCCTCTTTTGGTTTTTCCTTGTCGAGTCGACTAGGATTGACTTGTTGATTTATCTAAGCCGAGCTTATCAATAGCGTTTGCCCCCTTCTTTTTATCCTTTTATCCTCTGTCGATTCTTGAGGGTCGGCTTTACTCGTTCTTGTGGACCTTAACTCGTGATTTTACTAACTTAGTCCTTTCTCCTTTCTTTTTCTTTCCTTAGCTTCCGACTCGTCTCCTCTCTCTGGCTCCCTTGGTCAACAGATCAACGACTATGTTCATCATGTCGACGAGGGTTCTAGTTCAGATTCCGTCGAGGTGACCGGTTATAAAATGATTTTGCTGCCTTCTCATCCTTCTCCTCCTCGCATTTTGGCTACTTCAGTCGACTGGGAACATCATGATCAAGCGCTTTTGGAGAGCGGCCTGGTCGACACCGTGAAGAGTCCTTCTCGGGGAAGTCCTCCTCGTCTCGACCTCATCCCTCGAGGTATTCCTATTAGGTTATTAGCCATCCCTGTTTATAGAACAAGCCCTATATCTGTATCCATAATTGCTCCTCTTCTCGATTCTCAAAATACTGTATCGATAGCTTGTCCTTTAGCTAGGTTAGCCGTTTTAAATCCTTTTTGTTATGCCTCTACAGCCGAAGTCGAGGGCTTCAGAAAGTTCAGCGGGCTTCCCTCAGACTGGGAGTTAGTCGCCCCTGGTCTTAACAACGATTTCGCTCATCCTCCTCCCGGTTGCCATACATTTTTTATAGAGCAAGTCGTCTTTGGTCTTCGCTTTCCAATCCAAGACGAGCTAATACTAATAAGTAACTTGTACAATATTCCCATAAATCAGTTTTCTCCTAACGCCATCTGTATTATGATAGCCTTTATAGTCGTCTCCCGAATAATACTCAAATTCTCCTCGCCCGAGTTTTTCTTCTATTGCTACGGTTATCGACTCTCCAAAGGCGCTCATTGCCTGGGTCGTCGTGCCGACGTCACCTTTCTTGACGATCTCTCGTCGAATGTTACTGAGTGGAAATCGAAGTTCGTCTTCATTCGACCTACTCCCGGCATGTATCCCTATGTAAATAAATGGATCACCTCGAAAGTGAAGCAAAATAAACGACCCCACTCTGACGAGTTTGCTACTCTGTTGGCGGAGCTCAATAAACATACGTATAGTGCTCGTCAGCTAATAAAGGACCGTGAACTGGTCAATCACGCCCGAATCGTCTTTTACGAGGACCTTCCTCGTCTTGATGACCCTAGTAAGCCGTTATTGTTCCTTTTTGTACAGTTGTTTATGATTTTTGGTTATTTGCATCTTGACTGCTGAGTGTTCTCCCCATGCTAACTTTTCTTCTATCGTTTTAGTTAAAGCGCTCAAACGCTTCGAGCTCAAGAAGGGCCAGTCGTCCGGCTCGCAAGCTGGCGGTTCTATTCCTCCCCCTCGACTCTCAGGTGGGTCCGGGTCGAGGCCCGGTGCTGCAGCTGCCGAGACGACAGCTGCCAAAAAATCCAGGGTCAAAAACCCTGGGGCTCCTCAAAACAAGCCATCGGGCTCCTCCTCTCGCAAGAGAGCCCAGACGATCGGGCTGCCATCCTTATCCCTGACGACCTAAAACGCCGCAAGGTCGACAAGGGGAAGGGAATGGCAGTCGAGAAGAAAGCCCCTTCCCCTATCACCGTCAAGGATGTGACGGTCAAGATGCCCTCTCGGCTCTGGAATCATCCAGAGCCGTACCATGTGGCCAAGTACTTCAATTCCCTCATCCCCGAAGTCGACAAGGAGCGAGTCGAGGGTACCTGTACGAGCGCTCCAATTACGCTGTTCAGTGTCTCGCCCGGGTATTTTTCATATCCTTCAATCGACTTTGTTTTTGCATGCTTCTTTTAAACTTGGTTCATCTGATCTCATTTGTTTTCCATGTTCTTTCGCAGTTCCTGGCTGCGGCGCTCCCATGCTTCGAGAAGACGAGCAAGGCTCCTTTTGCCTCCACTAAGTCCCTCGAGGACAGATGCGAAGCTCAGCGCCAGGAAATCGAGGCGCTGAAAGAAGACCTGGAGGCCTCGAAGGCCCTGGTCGACAAGCTGAAGGCCGACAAGGCCGTTCTCCGGCACCTGAACGACAAGCTTAAGGCCGACCTCAACAAGGCTCGCGACGAGATTATGGTCGAGAGGGAGAATGGCATCGAAGAGGGACGCAGGACGTTTTTGAAGTCCCCCATTGGTGCCGTCTTCCTTGAGACCTATCGACAAGAGGTCGTCAAGTCGTTCTGTAATTCCCCCGCCTTCCTCGACAAGCTCTGCCCCGCCACCCTTCAGTATTTCGAGCACACATTCGCCGCATGGGAAGCGGTGGTGTCGGGGTCCGAGTTTGAAGGGAAGCTCGACCGTGAGGCAGTCAAGGAGACGCTCCCCTACCCCTAGGGCTACGAGGGCGACGACTCTCTCCCCGATGGGCCATCCGTAAGGCTGGCTTGAGCGCGCAACTCGAGGTTCCTCCCACCCCCTTGTCCGGTCCGATCGAATTAATCGGGGCAAGTGGGGCTAGTCGGGAGGAGGAAGTCGAGGCGGGGGATGTCGAGCAGCAAGGCGCTGGGCCGCTTGTC